ATGTTACCCCAAGAGATGAGATTTTACTTATATTTCACCAGGAATCAGTAAAGTCTCCTTTGAAGTGGGGCTCCAGTCATAGCAAGATATTAATTTATCCTGATTTTACTAAAGAGGTTTCAGAAAAGAGAAAGATGTTTACAAAAGCTCAAAGTCTTCCCTGATCAATATTTCAATATCAATACAATTTCAATATTTTGTGCATTTTCCAGCTACATTCTGCGTTAATCATCAAGATCAGATTCACACATTTGATAGTCCCTTGAATGCAGAGGCCTTTATCCTATCTTTAAAATCTGCAGATGGACAAGCTTGATTGTGTTTCATTCTATGGAATCTGCCAAGAGAGAAGTTGGAGTTTGCCTACACTAAAACCCTGAGTTAAAAATCTACATGCCAGTATTGTTTTTCTGTACTCCTATTCATGTTTGTTTTGGTTATTTCAAGATAGAGGGTCTGAGCATACCGCCAACTCTATCACTTATTTTTAACACACAGTACTTTTTTTTGTGCCATCCCCTTTGGGAAGCGCTCAACTTCTGTGATTTTTTTCCTTCTTTCTTTACATATTTTTTCTTTTTAAAGATTTTTTTGTAATGTCACTTGCTCTTTTTTTTTTTAAATTTATGCACATAATCATGTTTTTCTTTTTTTGCTTTAAGTATAGATTCTATATACATGTAAAAGAATGGTATTTGAATGTTAAATTGAGCCTTTATGGAGGTTCTACATCTGTGAGCAATATATATTAAATATTTAAATATTTTTATTAGACATTTGTTAAATGATACAGGTCATAATATGAATTGGTATTGGGAGAATATTGATAAGTGGGCTAAAATAAAATTTATGGATGAAGTTAGTTTAACTGTAAAAGGGTTACAAGAATCCAAGAAAAAAAAATGTAATCTTAGCATACTTAAAATCATTAAGGGCAGACATTCATTGCTTATTTACAAGAGACTCATCTAATGGAACAGGATAAATAATAAAAGATTGGGTGGGACACGTTTACCTCACAGATACTTCAACAAAAGCTAAAGGTGTGGCCATTCTGGTTTGAAAAGGATTCCCAACTGACGTATAGGAAGTTATCACTGATGCAAATGGGCATTATTTAATTTTGTGTGCCAAAATAGCAGAGACTGCAATAGCTATGGTTAATGTTTATAGTGTCAGGTTCAGCCTGGCACGGCACATGCCTTCCAAGCTAGCCGCCATTCCGCCTAGCTAATTTCAAACGCACCTAGTCAGTTTCCTTGCCTCAGGCGCAGGCGATCGAAAGAGGAAGTGCAAAACCGCAAGTAAACTGCTTGCAGGTGGTGGCAATCAACCCGCGGCAGGAATCAATTACTTTGCAACAAACGGGACTTCCCCCAACCACCGCAGGCAAGCAGCCAACAATGAAGACAAAAAACTCCGCAGCTCAAGCCCCACTCAACCGCCCATCAAGAGCAATCGTGAGTCATCCTCATGGGACCTGGCATGCAAGCAAAGCAGCAGAAAACAAAGGACCCTGGCTGAACCTGCCATTGATCCGGGACGGGAAGAGCCGAGGGCAAGGGGTGAGCCAAGGATGGGCAGGGGCGGTCAGCAGGCAGGACTTGTAAAGCGCGGGAAATGGGGAGGCTATAAAATGCTATGTAACCTGTGCCAAGCCAACCCTGGCTTTGTTTGTAACCACATGCATTACACCTGAGTAAATTGCTTTTGTACAAGCCTGCATCTCACAGAGTCTTTATTCAGCGTTGAATGCGGCAACTCTTACATATAGACCAAATTTATATTCTCCTGCTAAGTTTTATGAATATTTTCAACACTTGAATGGGTGTATTTATGATACATTGATAATAGGAGATTTTAATGAAATATTGGATTCTGAGCTTGACCCCAGCACATAAAAAACAATCATTAGTGAGGGAAACAATTAAGACTTATATGGAAGAATTGAATTTAGCAGACCCTTGGCATTTGATGCATCCAACTAAAAGAGAATATACATTTTATTCAAATGTGCATCAGAATTTTTTTAGGCTTGATTATTTCTTACTATCGTCAACTTTATATCATCAAATTCAAGAATGTAACATTGATGTTTGTTACGTATAGGATCATAGTGCAACCCCCTTGAAATGTGTGTTTTAGCTTCCAGTGTGGACAATGGCGGCTTAATCATCTTTCTGTGAGAGGGGAGACAACACTGCAGCTGGATTGATGGCTGGCAGCAAGTGCTGGCCACTCAACTTGCTCCAGATTAAGGAGCAAGCAAGGAAATCGAACCATACGGCCTCCAGACGGCCGTTCCTAATTGTGGAGATGGAAGCTTTTGTGAATGGCTTTTGAGTTGGGTGGCTGGGAGGTGGGGGATCTATCTTTGTTTGAAGCTGTGGCGCAGCCTTTTTTATGGATGCTAGAGCCGACCAAACCCCATTTCTAAACATAGTGGAGTATAACTTCTTTGCAACTTAAGAGGGACCTTCCTTTGCAACAGATACGTAATTATCTTGGGGCTTATCCTTATTTTTGGGACTATACATTTAAAAGAAGAATTAGAGCTTTAATTT